ATCCCACTAATATGATAAAACATTCTCAAAGACAGAAACAATGAATTGCTTTTAGTACATTTCAAATAAATAAAGTTTCCTGAAAACCATTGAAATGGAGCGTTATGGTAGTAAGCATAAACATGGGTTGGCATTTTATATTCACTATAATAATATGTTATTCCACTTAAGTTGTCAAAGCAATTGTAAAGCAAAAAAAAAAAAAGCTGTGATTATGCTAATTGTGCATTGATACTGAACAATTCTTCCTGTATGATTGTCAAACAAAGCAGAACTAGAAAAATGCACTGCTACTAGAAACTACCATTGCTGTTTACATCTGTTTGTGTGTGTTTCTTTCTGGGTTTTTTTTTCCTCCCCCTTTCAACATCTCTCCTAACATTCTGCTAAAACTTTGTGTAGTAGTACTGCCTGGACCTTGAAGAAGGGGACATACCCTGAAAGCTTGTCCTCAAAATTGTATGTTAGTGCAAATAAAAAAAGTATCACGTCAGTACTCAATTGCTTTGAACCAGAATTTGTTGTTGTTTTCCAGTGGAACAGGCTCAGTTGGTAGTGGCATTGGTAAACCATGTCTGAAACAGGGACACCCAGGAAAACATTTATTCAGGAAGAAACACTCTCCAAAGCTTCTGGACTCCAGGAACCAGATCAGAACTTGTTTTGATCTGAGTAAACAATATAGCAGGCAGAAAATCTGGAGCCCCTCACAATGTTTAGGTGAGAAATCTCACACTGCCTACAATTATGACAGCCTCACATACCTGCCTGTACATTTTTCCACCAGACCGAGGGATTAATAGTTTACCAGTGTTCTTTGCTGGGTCCCCAGCCTGTGCTTTACATAAAATGTGAAGTCTTGTAGGACCACAAGCTACTTGTGACCCATGCATTGTTCCCTTTGTTCCAAACAATTCACTGTACTGGAGTCTGTAATCAGCCTGCCAAAAAAATAAAAACAATACCCTAATAACTCTAGTGTCCACTTTTGGCTGAACACTCTCTTCCAGCTGTTTCAGGCTGATCTATGCCATTGGATGGTCTTCATTAAATCTGTGGAAGAAGACTGGCCAACACAAGCACTAATTTTTTTTTCTATTTATTTGATTCAATATTGTCCATTAGAGGCTTTATCAACCATCATCCACATTTCCGCAGCCTAAATACCGCTCTTCTATCAGGCCTATTGTGCATTTTTGGAATTGGCTCTTAACCCGGCCTATGCATGGAACCTTAACTGCCTGGATTGTTTGAAGGTCATCATCTGCACAACTCTTCTAAACTTAGAAAATGGAGCAGATGATGTTCCTAATTAACAAAAGGAGTGCAAACCCCTTTATTAATTAGGAGGAATAAGTTTTCTGTTCTGTGGCTGTGACAGGCATAGAAGCTCCAATGTCTCTCTGCCTGCCCCAAGCTCAGAGTGGAGGGAGAAGGAGGGCGTTAACCTTGTACAATTGCTGCTCATGCTGTGTAATCACTGCAAGAGCAGAGAAAGGGATGCTGACAGCTCACATCCCATACAACAAGGTTGCACCTGACCAGAATCTGAAGCCATTTTCTATGTGGAAAACTGTCGCAATCCCTCTGTTAATCAGTTGCAGACCTGAGCTAGTTTCTTTTTCACTCTGAAATAGACACATGCACAGGTAGTGCAGATAGTCCTGAAACAGGTCTACCTGCTTATTTAAGGAACTGCACATGGAATATGGATTTCACGTACCACGTTCAGGTGTGAACGGGCGCTATTTCCCAGATCAAATTCTCCTGTGTTTAAATGTACTTTACATGCATTTGCACTTGTTTTGGGGTGTTTAGAGTATCTAAGCTGCCTCTGGATGATACTGACTGTTTGCCTTTATTTTACTACAGTATATACCTGGAGCAGAATTCAATAAACATATTGTGAATGATTATTAGTTTACAGTCAGGTTTTTAAAGATGATCTGCATGAGCTCTCTTTGCCCAGTGGCACTGTACTTGTCCAATATGTTGACTGTTGGCCAAAACCTCTATGGAACCTTACAAACAAGACTCCCTTTGTTTACTGACATTTTGGCTGAGGAGGGATACAATGCCTCACTGCACAATCTACAGTTTTGTCAGCAGAAAGTTCAATATGTAGGTCACTGCATTTCCTGGGAACTTAGACACTTGTTCCCATATTAGATCAATTTATCATCACAAAACCGATGCTTCAGAATGAAGGTCAGTTGTGAACATTTTTAAGGATGACTAATTATTGCAGGCAGTGGACCCCTAGTTATTGTGAAATGTCTAACCCTCTATACTGTAGGAAAAGCTTACATTTTGCCACTCTGATTCAAGGGCAAGAAATAAGTTGATTTGGACAAATATATCACAAGTGACCAATTTAAAATAAAAATCGATTCGTATGAATAAGATTTTATCTTCTCTGCTGTTGATCAGAGAGGTTGAGTGAGTAAAATAAAATATAAAGACCCACTAGAGGATGAGTCTGTTGATCTGTATATGCAATACTATAAAAGCTACAGAATATTGTCCAGCAAGTAAGTTAAATAAAAAATGAATTTAAAGTATAAAAAAAAGTTTTATATATAAATTCCCTATTATTTTTGTATTACTCTCTGAATTCCTACTGGGCAGTAGGGATGAGCTTTTGTGACGTACTAAATTCAGTACAAACCTATGGGGGACTGTCACATGACCATATCTGGACAATATCATTGACCAAAAATGGCCATATTGGGTCAATGATGTCACCAGCATTCCGTCCTCTTTGTTACGCATGGCTGTGGGGAAATCATAGGTCACAGCAGATTGGACTGGTGGCCTGTTATCATGTGAAAATCTCCCGGTTTTGAAAATTAGCTCATCGTAAAGCTGGGTAGACGCTGCAAGTTTTTTTTTGTTCAACCCAGCAGACTGAATGAAACTGAACACAGAACACACTGAGCAGCACTCGCAGTCATTGACTGCCATTGCTGATCAGATGCTGATCAGATACCGATCGGATGCTGGTTTTCCAGCATATCCATTTGACCGAAGCTGCTCATAAGACCAGCTTCTTTAGAACAGACAGCTGCACACAAAGGTCAAAAGTTGGCCCAGCGGCCTATTCCTACTGAACCAACCGTTTTCGGGTGATTTTCAGCCTGTGTGTACCCAGCTATACTGCGGAGATTCAACCTCTATATTTGTCCTGGTGAGCATTGTCTTTGATACAGAAAATTATAAAAAAAAAATCAATGTTTTAGAGTTGTCACGAAAAGTGGAGGTGAGAGGACACCTGATCTGGTGATAATGGTCTAAAAGGGGATTTGCCTTCACTTTGAAGTGATTTTTCCTGTTGTGTTTCTGGTACAGGATGTGAAAGGACAGCAACATAAATAAACTTAACAGGGCTCTTAACCATTCCCTACTCCATCAAAAAAAAAAAAGTTTTTGTTTTACATATTCTGTACTTATGGTAAATGTTGCTCAACATATTTCCTTGTGAGAAATACATAATAGACTCACTATTATGTAACAGGTAGTAGTGATTTAACTTTGCACAGTTATGTTGATTAGGTTTGTTCAGTGTTTAAGCAGGGAATTGCTTTAGGAGCAACAATGTTATACTGTTCTATGAATATTTCCATGATGTTTGTAAAGGGGACTGCGACTGGGTGCTGGTGTTAAACTGTACAAGTTCTACTCTGATTCTTATTGGATAAAACAACTACTTACCTTTTATTGATGGAACCCTTTGCCATATATTGTCATACTCCTGGCCAGACGCCTGTTCTTGCCTTTCCTAACCGTAGACCATAGTATTTTGAAATTATGGAATGTTCCCACATAAAAAGCATTTTGTGCATATTGCTGAAATTTCACAGAGCTTTCCATGACATTTGATATTGCATTTGATATACTGCCAGAATTCTTTGGAACGGAATGCCACATGTAGGAGTAGACATTTTTTAGTAGTCATTTCTGTGCAAAATGCAAGCACACATCTTTTATGCCATCTTCCTATTACACCTCCATACTTCTCCTAGGGATCACTACAGATTTGGGACCACTTCCCCATTGATACTAAGTCCACAGTATTAGCTTCCATAACCTCATCACAGGACCCACAGCTGAGGGTGAGAAGGATCAAGGTGCTCTCACCAGTCTATTCCCAATATCACTAGCATGCTCCCAGATGGCACATACTCTCCTAGACTCCCACCGACTACTTACAAATGCTATTCCACTTTGGCTGGGACTTCAGCCCTGCAAAAGGCCCTTTAGGTTAGCACTGCAGGAGACTACATGTTGGAGTGTTTGGCTCCCATGGCCCATGTACCATTTGGCCATCCATTACATCACTAGAGGAGGGGTTTCTCTAAAAGGGAAGCTAAAACTCAATTACCATTTTCCCTTTAACACACCATAATAGGAACAGAGCCATCTAGTGGCAGGAAAGATAACTGCACCTGCTAACAGCTAGCTGATAGGCTGTTGTCGTAACCTCCCTAGCGGTCTGATTATGTCAGTATTTCTGTGCTCAAAGCGGTACATTTTTTTTGCATGGAAATATGTATTGTTTTTATTGTAGCTCTGTAATTTTTAGGAATAACTCACTGAAATCTGTCCGAACAAGAGTCTAGTATGTTAAAATGTGAAACATGAAATCATAAATTATAATTTAATAAATAATTATAAAGAATAATAATATAATAATAATAATACATTTAATTCAATAATATAATCAAACCAAAAACACTGAAATTTGAAATATAGCACCAAGTTCGCACATCACTGAGCAAAGTCGCAGAATCGTTTTCAGTGTCTGATGACGAATTTCCCCACGAATCATTATCACTCAATTCCGCAAGTGGTTCTGATTTACTATCGCTGTTCTCTAGCTGGTCTAAAACCGCTTTTGACCTAAAGGGACGCTTTTTCGACGCCATGGACGTTTCTCAGTTTCCAGGCAGAAAGAACAGTAAAAATGTAGGCAGGGCACAGGACAAAGCAGCAGGGACAAAATGTATGTGAAATGGTTTGATGCAGTGATGTTTTACTATGTGATTTTAGTGATTTTAGTGAATGTCACTTTTTGTCATTTTCAAATTTCCCACCATTCTGTCCCCCGTACGTCCCGACGTCGCAGATGGATGCCGGCATCCGCCTGAGGACATTACAGGGGACACTGCAGGAGGGACATCGCAGGAGCGCAGGACAAGGTAAGAGAAGAACAGATCCCAGAGCAGCACCGCATGGTAAGCCCGAGTGTAGCTCGGGGTTACCGCTTGTGGTACTGAAACTTTACCCCGAGCTACACTCGGGAATACCGCCAGGGAGGCTACAATGTCAAAGATTTAGGTACAAAACACCAAAACGTATGATTTACATCTACTCCTCTGTCACATTCAGCTTGAGATTGCTCTTTCTGCTGATAATAGACTGCTTAGTCATTTTAAAAATCTACATGAATGCATTTTTGAAATGTCACAATGTACTACAACTTAGTTACTGTTCAGTCACAAGCTACATTATGAGGAAAGTATATTAGCAAAAAACTGCATATTGTATCACTGAAAAGCAGTTCTTTAGCTCCTGACAAGTGAAGTTGCTTCGGTTGAGATAATGGGTAGTGATGAGCCGAACACTCCCGTTTGGTTCGCAGTCGAACTTCGAACACAAACAATTTACTGAGCAGTATCTTACCGCATCTGATTATGTGGTAAGATACCGCTCAGTTACTAAAATACTGGAGGAAATTTATTATTAAGTCATGCAGTATTTTAGTAGTGAAACATTCATTATTGTTTCAGCTGTCAGTGGGGTTCCTTGCTGACAGCTGAATGCAAAAAGAATTGTCGTCATTGCCCGACAATTAAATTTAAAATAAAAAAAACAATGTGGGGTCCCCCCTCTCATCCATACCAAGCCCTTTGGGTCTGGAATGGATTTTCAGGGGAACCTTCATGTCAAAATGTTTTAAAAAATGGCATGGGGATCTTCCCCAAAATCCATACCAGACCCCTATCTGAGCAGGTCAGGAAAGGGGGGGATGAGCGACGCCCCCCCTCCTGAACCATACCAGGCCACATGCCCTCAACATGGGGGGGTGCTTTGGGGCAGAGCGGGCTTCTCCCCACCAAAGCAGCTTATCCCCATGTTGATGGGGACAAGGGCCTCTTCCCCACAACTGTGGCCGGTGGTTGTGGGGGTCTGCAGGCAGGGGGCTTATCGGAATCTGGAAGCCCCCTTTAACAGGGAAGCCAGATACCAGCCCCCCCCTATACGAATGAGTATGGGGTACATGGTACTGCTACCCATTCACAAAAGAAAGTGTAGTGTAAAAAAGACAGTAGTAAGAGATAGTCTTTGACAAGTCCTTTATTGGAAATAAAAAAATGTCCACCAAAATAGATCCCACCTCAATTACGATGATCGCTACTGCTGCTGTCCGAGAAAAGAAATAAAAAACCCGCTCTGCTTGCGACGCTAGCTCCCACCGTTTGAACCTAAGTTCAACTCGAACATTCAGCCCAACACTAATAATGGGATAGATTTACTAAAGGCAAATATACTGCTCCATTTGCAGAGGAAGTGATTATCCACAAACCTTAGTGAATGAGATTAAGCTCTGCTGACTTCCATCATCCAATCATGTCCAAGCAAAAATTCTGTTTTTTTTATTTCCTCTTTTTTATGAACATGATCTTGGGAGGATTGAAGAGAGCAGTTTGGTTGATATTTTGAGACCAGGTTGGGTAATATAGCTGGGGGCAGAATTGTGGAATACTTGGTAAGTTGTTAGTATTTGAATTTTATTTGTTGGGCAAGTGGAAGCCAGTGGAGGGATTGGCAGAAAGGGGTAGCAGACACTGAACGGTTGGTAAGGTGGATGAACCTGGCAGCAGTATTCATGATGGACTGGAGGTGGGGATAGCCTATGTAAAGGTAAGCCAATGAGGAGGGAGTTGCAGTAGTTGAGGTGAGAGATAACCAGGGAGAGAATTAGGAGCTTTGTGATATCATTGGTTAAATAGGGGCATATTCTGGATATGTTGCGGAGGTTGAGGCAGCATGATTTGGACAGGGAATGGATGTGGGCCTGAAATGATAGTTCAGATTCCAGGGTTACCCCTCACACCCTGGCATGTGGGGATGGGTTGATAGTTGTGCTATTGATCCTGACTGAGAAATCAGGGGAAAAGGCACGTGGGGAGGAAACATTATGAGCTCAGTTTTGGATATATTGAGTTTTAGGAAGTGGAGTGACATCCAGTCTGATGTCTGTTAGTAAATCGGAGATATGTGAGGAAACTGATGGGCTGAGCTGAGGAGTAGAAAGATAGATTTGTGTATCATCAGCAAAGAAATGGTATTGGGCTTGGGTAATGGGCTTTAAAAAATGAGGGTTTATTATCACTTTTTGGGTGCTCAGGTCCAGAGGGGATGTGAAGGATACAGAGATACACTTTAGCATGTGGAACTACAGCTGGGTGGTGAAGACCTATCGTGGTTAAGTGCTCCATTTGCCTCCTCTTTACAACAATTCTGATTAGAATAGTCTCATTTATCAATAGTCTGTTGTTACAAATATTACAAAACAAGGCCAGTCTTAACATTCTGCAGTGCTTAAAGCAAATGTCAACCCAAATTTTCATATTCATGATATGTGCCTGCTGTACCATGTAATTGTATGAAAAAGTATCCTGTTCTCTTACTGCTTACCTGCTTCCCTATAAAGAACTGACCACACTAGACATGAGAGCACAGATTTGTTAGTTTTCTGGCTGTACTGAAAACTCAGCCTGCTTTCCACCAATGATCAGACTTTGCTGACAGACTCCCAAGCTCTGCACAACCATTCACTGGAAAGATCAGTGTGCTGCTGTTTCTCCACCCTGAGCTCCTTATGCAGATGAGAACAGTTATAAAAAAAAGTAAAAAGGTTAATGATAATGTTTTTTTTTTTCTGTATGCACAAACGTGTTGCCTTTTATTTCTATTTTAAACTGAATGGGTTGTTTTACAAGGTGTAAATTTACATATACAATACTTTAAAAAGTTAATTATTGTAATTATATGTGCAATCTAATTAAAAATGATAATTGTCCATGACAACAATTAGGTTTATGTTTTAATACTTTTAAAACACTGTCTGACTGGAATTTATAAGATTGCTATACTTTATAAACAGCTCTGTGTGTATAAAAGATAAACTCCAGGCAAGCAGCGGAAGTTTGTTGAAAAGCTCAAGACAAATTCAGGTACATATTCTTATTACTATCAGATGCATTTTTATTAATACAGTACTGCATTAATTAGTGTTTTTTTTGCCTGGAATTACACTGGAAATATTAAGCATGCTGTATAAATTGCAATACTTTGTACCCTAACAGAATTTGATATTTTTAACCACCTTTCAAACTTATCCCAGTGGAAAGAAAATACCATCACACAATTTTTATTTGGTATTTCAAAAGACTTTTCCCATTTAGTGTTTTAATAACAGCAAAGCTGCAAACATTAAAAAAAATCTTTCCTTTTTAGAAATGGTGATTGTAAACACTACATCTATCTCACAAAAAATGCATTTTAATGAACAGTGGCGGTTTTCCTTAGGGATTAACAGTTTCCAATATTAATCTTAAATCCTTTGATTCTTTTCCTGTGCCAACCAGATAAGGGAATACTGCTAGACTGGAACCCAAGAAAGATATGTTTTTATGGGCTACCTTCCTTGTATTTCATTTGTATTTCTACTTTGTTAATACAAATTGTCATACAGTAGATTTTGGAAAATTCCTGTTTTGATGTACTGTAGCTGGCAATATCTTTTTGTGGCCCAATGCCGGTTCTTTATTGAAAATGTAAAAGGAATCTTCACGTAAAAGTATGTTAAGCCAAAACTTTTTTCTTAGTTTTAGATCTGGAGTTCTGTTAGATAGATTTCCCTTTACTTCTTCTGCGACTGATAATACTGCGCAACACATTTTCTGGAAAACTTTTGGTGATTGTGATAGATCCCTTCAAATTGAACACAAAAATAATGTGAGAATTTGATAAATATGTAAATAACTTTTAATGACTATGAATTTAATTGCATAATGTTTTGGAATTCCTACATGAGTTTAGCATGACTAAAGGTGTTTTGCTGTTGATTGTTGTTTGTACTGAACAGGGGCGGACTGACAACTCATGGGGCCCCCGGGCAATAGGGGATCATGGGGCCCCTGTGTCCTTGCCCAAACTCAAAAAAGCCTATGAAAAAGGTACCAGGGGCATCTCATGGGGCCCCCTACTGACCCCGGGCCCTCGGGCAGTGCCCGAGTTTCCAAATGGTCAGTCCGCCCCTGGTACTGAATGTCTGGTACATCTTGCTGCAGTGTCCAAAGATAGTCAGCCAGCACTGATGGATTACAATTATCCTGATACCATTTTCCCAATATCTGGCAACGTCTGGGTGAAAACCTTCACCATACACACTGAACGCACCTAGATTTTCAAGAAAGAAGTCCAAGTCTAAATGCAGAAAGTGAATCTTCAGTGACATGTTGCACTTCATAGTCTTGTAAGCTGTATGAAATCTGTTAACCAGCCAACAGGGGCAGACTGACAACTCATGGGGCCCCCGGGCAATAGGGGATCATGGGGCCCCTGTGTCCTTGCCCAAACTCAAAAAAGCCTATGAAAAAGGTACCAGGGGAATCTCATGGGGCCCCCTACTGACCCCGGGCCCTTGGGCAGTGCCCGAGTTTCCAAATGGTCATTCTGCACCTGCCAGCCAAATGTAGTTTGGTGCTTTGTAGCTGCCAAGAAAATTCTCAACAACACCCTTGTATGCTTTACAGGTGAATTTTTCTGGACCCACCATAAGGTCTTTTAATCACTTTTCATCAATGACATATGTAACCTGTGGGCCAACAGAAATCCCTTAATCTTGGCATCAGTTATTCTTTGATATATCTATCTCAAATAATTAAAACCTTTACCTTCCTTGTCCACTGCTTTCATGAAATGTTTCATTAGTGTGAATTTTGTGCGAAGGGGAGATAGATACCACAACCCAGGTAGAATATATCTCTGTGTCAAAGCAAACAGTCTTATCTCTCGTTCATTGAAACCTCAAGGGTTATTAGTTTCAAGTCTCAAACCAAACATTCCCTCAGTTTCCCAGTCCAAAAATCTAATAATTATTCACATCAACTTGCATATACCAAAAAATCCATTATATAAAGCATACATTTCATTTAACCACTTTAACCTCCATGATGTACCCATACTGTACGCCACCAGGTTAATTGGGGTTATAGGAGGATGATGCCTGCAGCTACAAGCATCATCCCG